CCAAGAAATAAAAACCCCTGAAAATGTAAACACTGACAGATGTATGTATATCAATGTACGTACATAAATATCTCTATGCACTCACGTGTGTTCGTAAGTGGCCATAAGAAACATCCATGCACAGAGTTGAAACATATACAGGGATACGAACATGTCGTCATGCATAGGTGAGAGGGTTTGCCATGGTTAACATGCTCCCACGTGGTAATTTCTAAATTCTAATTTATTTTTCCAGATAGTAGAGGCTCAAACAAAACCTCACACATGCACAGCAAGTACTGTACTACACAAATGCTTCTGTGGCGCCCCCTACTTTTTATTTTGTTTAGACATAGTCTTACCAACTCACCAAGGCTGACCTTGAACTCACTTTACATCCTGGACAGATAGTCAATTTGTAATCTTTATGCTTCAGCCTCTCAAATCTTGTATTAATGACATCGTCTACTACCATGACGAAAACTTTGAATGTGAAATTACCAAATGCATGAACTGGTGGTAAAATGGTATCTTGTTATATAGTATTTAAGTCATGTAGGTCAAAGTCAAAACAGTAAAAAAGATTAGAAGTAGATGATTGTAAAATGTATGTAATTTTGTTTTTGGTATTTATGATGAGAAATTAAAATATACTTCAAATTTTCATCTTTAACTTGTAGAACGCTGTATACTTAGTTATGATATTTGATACTTCTATGCCAGACAACAGTATACTCCATGGATATTCTGTCTTATAAGATTGTAATGAGAATAATAATAATACTGAATCTGTCATAGGTGGTAGTGACTGTTGTCACGGTGTTTTCTGATCGTGTTCTTATGAACAACTGGATGTGGCCACGAGATATAACCATATAATAATGCAATCAAGAGAAGGGCACAGTGTTGTACAAGGATAATAAAGGGGCACATTTTAATTAAGCATAAAATTTTAACAAAACTCATCACCACCGACTAATGAACTCAATTCCTATGAGTTGATTGAATGAAAACCTGAGGACAGAGTAGCACCTTGTTTATAAACAAGCTGTTCTTTATTTACCCCAAGATTCCAAGGTTACAGTGACTTCCACTTAGTAGCAAGAAGTTAGATTTTTCAGCTAACAGAATATGAAACTTAAAAATAAGAGACACAAGGGAAGCTCTCAAAGATGGGTATTGTTATTAATAACATTAATAACAACATTTGATTTCTCATGAGCTCATTTTTCTTCATTTTTGCTAAATGAATTTTTAAAAATACAAATTTGATTTTCTGAGGCCCCATTCTATCAAAACGACACATTACTATACAGAGTTAATGAAAGGCAATAGTTTTAACAAATGAATAGGGAAAGTCCAACAAATGGGAATGGACAAGCTAGTTTAAGCAAAAATAAGAATTGTCCCAATCTCATTTTTATCCCTAAGAATCTTAATTGGACTTCTGGTAGGCGACATTAGTTTTAATCAGGATTAGTGTCGTAGTGATAAACAGAGCTGGGGGATCAATAAGCATTGCTGTATCAATATATGAACAGGGACATGGATAATTTGAACTCTCAACAGAGAAGTTGGTACGGAATTAAATATTTGCTTTGCAAATTTAAAGCACAGCTTGTCATTTTATCTAAAGACCAGTGCATTGACACTGCACAGGTAGATGCAGTGTAAATGAGTTAAAGACTGTCCCATAATAGTCTGATAACAATTTTCAATATCTTCCCTGGAAGTATGTGGAACAGGAGAGAAACTATTATTTCATAGTAGAACTGACGATTTGAGTTTTTTCACTGAAAGAAATACAAAAAACATAGGGGCATTTACACAAGGTATTATTTAAGAAGAAAGACAATAAAAATTATTCCACTAGATTTAATTTTTCAATGAAGGTGAAAAGAGTGACAGTATTGACCTAAGTAAGAGAGGTTCTTCTTCTAAAGGTAATCAGAGGAATGCTGTAATTTCATGTGACAGACAGGTCTCTAAAGCCATGTAGGTCTGTTCACTGGTCCCTTCATGTGACCTCAAACTTCTTGGCCAATTGTGTTTCTATTACAGGCAGCAGGGAGTGGACAGGGGCTGAGCATCACCAAGTTCCATTTAGATCATGTTCCTGGAAGCACACCCACAGTTCCAACCCATGTTCACACGGTCACACACAGCAGCCAGGGGGACATAATTTTCAATTAGTTGACAATGTGGCCTGCTATTAAAAAAAGAAAACAAAACAAAAAGCAAAAAACAAGAGACTAAATACTGTGAAATGAGTGACTCCTGGTAAAACAGGAAGAAATGAAATAAGTCATATAGCCCTTGTTGATACTTTCAACTTTTTTTTCTTTGTTTCAGAGGCTAGATCTTCAGATGACATGAAACTGAGTTGTCTCCTTACTCTGCCCTAATCTGAGATAGATCGTCAGTGTGTCCTTTTTTATCTGAACTTGAAAACATCAAAGAAAAAACATGAAGTAATTTGTAGAGTGAATCCCAGTTCCATTTTCTTGTTACCAACTGGGGTTATAAACGCATTCTAATGCATTATACTAAAACAGTTGAGTGTTTTTCTTCATACATTCTGTCAGAAAAACTTTGTGCCACAATGCCTTATATCCAGTGTCTGAAGCAGGTTTCCTTGAGTCTAGTGGCATCTGCCTCACTGATGTCTTGCTGTGTGATTCTTTAATCTCTTCAAGTGGGATTCTTGGTCCAATCTGCTGTAGAATAATGAGAAATTAAGCCCCATCTTCTGGACAGAGAATAATGGAAGAATTTTTGAGCATCATGAGAAACATCATGAGAAATCATTAGTACATATGAAGAACACTTTAAGAATATGTGTATTTTCTATCTCTTTCAACATTCACTTGATAATACTACTTTTCATCAGTAGGCATTTTCTTATGTTTTGTGTCTTTCTTTTCATCTACATTTATTTATTGAGATGGTCTCATGCCAATTATGTTTACTTATATAATTACCTACCAATCAGTTTACATCAGAATACATTCACAAAAAGTTGGAATTCCTTTACAGTAAAGTACACAGGTCTTTTATTTTGGTATTGTTGAGGTTCTCACCTTAGTCATTAGAAGTTGTCTCAGATTGCTCTGTCTTTTTCTTCTCCCCCTCCTTTTTAACTTCGATTTTTGATATTATAATGTAACTACATAATTTCCTCCTTTACTTTCCTCACTCCAAACCTCTCCCTAACTCCCTAATCTACGCCTCCTTGCTCTCTTTTAATTGCATGATCACTTATTTTTTTAATTGTTTTTGCCTACACATGTATTTAGGTTTACATATATCCATGCACATATTGTGTGTGTTCCTAAATATAAATTGCTCAATATGAACAATGCCACTCATTTGTATACTTTCAGGAATGATCATTTGGTGCTGTGTAATCAACTGGTGTGTGATTATTACATGGAGAAGATACGCCTCCCGCTCTCAGCATTCCCTATCACATACAAGTCTCCTTGTGGGTTTGAGGCCTGGTGGGCTTTCCTTCTTCCACTTTACGTGTCTAATGTTCTAATCCTAACCCAGACCAGGCCTAAGCTGTCATGTTGGTGAAAGTTTGTGACTGTAGCCTCTGGCGTTATTAGGAGACACACTCACATAGTAAACTTCCTGATCATCTGGTTCTTAAAATTGCTTACCCCTTCTTCCTCAATGCCCCTTGATTCTTAGGTATAGGAGTATTTTTTAATGTATCCACTGGGACTGGACTCCATGTCTCTGCATTTTGATTGGTTGTGGTTTTCTGCAATTGCCTTCACCTGTTTCTAAGAGAAGTTCTTTTGATAAGGAATGAAGACTATGCTTCTCTGTGGGCACAACAATAAATGTTGATAATGTAGCTAGAGCTAATGCTGCTTTAGTAAAGTTGTCATTGTAGGTTCTCCTCTAAGATCCATGACTCCACTAACCCTGAATTGTTTGCTAGGCTCCCAGAAATTGGTAAGGTTCCCCTCTTGTTGAGCATGTTTTAATGAGAATTAGAGAATTACTGATACCACTAGAGTATTCATGTCACTGTTGTTTGAGTTATCATGTTAGAGTTATCATATCATGCTGGTTGTCGATTGGGCTCATAGGCTTCATAGCTGGGTAAGACTCTTGGCTGCTTCCATCCTTTGGAAGAGAGGGAATCAGCCATTCAAGTCAGTTCCACCTTAGGAGACTTCGGGCCCTGTGTCGGAGACACATAGTATCTTCATAATATTGACTTAACTTTCTACCCCTATAGTGCAAATTCTAATTGATCAGATGTTAGGGGGCATAAGCTAAAAGACAAGAGAAGCAGAGTAGCTAGCCACTGGAGTTCTCACCTCTAAGAAATCCTCAGACCAAAAAGAAACTGAGCGCCTGCCTCCTTTCATCTTATGTTCCTCTCTGTGCCTATCCGTATTACTTCCTATCTATCTGTGTGGACCTCCAAACCTCCATGATTAACTATTGGCTAGCTCTGCCTTCTGATCATCAAGCAAGCTTTATTGTTAGAACAGAAATAAAATATCACATTTCTCCTTTTTTGTCTAAAATAAAAAGGAAGTCTAAAACTAATATGAGAAAGACTATATACAATAAGTACAACATCCTCTTGGTTGTGGTTCTGTTCAGGTTGTTGACTTCATCATTCTGCTTCTCTTTGTGCCTTGCCTGAACATTTCTAGGAGGTTATATTTCTAGTATTATCCTCTACCTGCTCCCTGAATTTTCATTAAGTGTAGGCACCATGAAGCAAAATACTCTTCCTGATGATTCGCAGCCAACTGGTTATCCTTGTTCCTCTCTGAGAGAAGCAACACAACTTCCCACTTACCATTAACTATGTTATGTTGCCAGAAGGACACACACATTGAAGTTTTCAATTCTTGCCTGCCACAGAGTAAGGCACTTTATTTCTTAGAGAGTATTCGGGAGTTTAATGATGCTCTTGTCGCTATGTCACCTGCAGTTGCTCCTGCTGGTATTCACACCGTATCTCTTTCCTGTTTGTTTTGTACTTGAAGCCAATGGTCTCTTGAGAAGATGGTGAGTGGATCTCTGTGGATGTTGACCTTGAAATTGTACCTACCTTCAATCAACATTTCAGCATAAAACTTTCAGGAGTCTCCCTGAACCTCCCTGGCAATATGTGAGAAAAAATGGCCATGTTTGAATTCTTCAGTTGCCTATGCACTGTTATAATAGGCTTCTGGTTATTCATTTAAAGGTGCTAATTAAATACTGTCCTTGGCTCATACACTGGTATGAGTGTGAGGTAATCAAACCATTGGGTTGTTAATACCAAAAATTTTTCTTAGAAAAGTAAAAGTGATACTATTTCCATTTCTGTTTCCTTTGTCTCATTGATTTATAGACGTGTCTGTTTGCTTATTTGAACACAGTCCTTTGTTGCTTATGCATGCTGAAAATATTCTTTGCTTTATGTTTTTCCTTTTCATTTTTTTCTTAATACAGAGAATTCCCCAGATTCAGTGTAGTTTAATTTATATCTCTCCAGATGTTCATGTTTGATAGGCATTGCTAAGAAAGTTTTATCTATGTCAATATCAGAATGAAGCCCTGGATTATCTACTAGAAGTACTATTGATTGGTTTTCACTTTCAGAACCAAAGTCCATCTAGAATGGGCTTATGGTGTCAAATAGAGGTCAGATTTTATGCTTGTCTTACATGTATACTTGATTTATTCACCATAATTGTTTTAAAAGATCATGGTTTATTTGCTAAAATTTGTGTCAAAATTAACTTTTAATATGGATGTGTTTATTTCTGAACCATATTATATTCATCTATATTTCTTCATAACATATCTTAAATATATTAAAATGTAAGCAGTCATTGGTAATTTTCAATGACTGCTTACATTTTTAAAAATTCTCTTTAAAAGCATTTACTATTATTAATTTGGGTGGTGTGTATAGTGTGTTCATGATATTCTGATGTTCCTTTTTTATGTGTTCTTAGTAATTAAACTTAGCAGCAAATACTGGCTAGGATAACTCACATACTCAGTTACTCACTTTTTAATGGATGTTTGTTAAACTAACATTGGCAGTTAAACACAGAGCTTTCATTAAAAAAAAACAACCACTCTTTATACTCAAGTGTTGAATATACTTTGGTCTCCTCTAACAGTTACTTACTTTATGCTTTTTTCTCATGATACCATCAAACTGTTGTATCAGTTAAATCAATCTACTGATGTTTATTGTGTTCTTCTATCCGTTTGAACAGATTTTTCTTTTTGATAGCAATGGCATTGTCTTTGAATTTTAAGGTTCTCCCTGTCGATGTTCTGTTATCAAAATAAAATGAAAACCTCATTCTATTTTCAGGTGTGTGTGTGTGTACCTGTAAATGAGTGTGTATGCATGAAGGCATTTTTTTGTTGCATCTGTAAATGAATGTGTATGCATGAAGGCCTTGTTTATGGAGCTATAAGAGTTGCCCGGGCCCCTAGACTAGTAATTTACATATAGGAGGTGGTGATCAGTCCAACATGGGTGCTACAAACCAAAAGGGATAGTTTTATGTCAACTTGACACAAGCTGGAATTATCTGAAATGAGGGAAGCTCAATTGATAAAATGTCTCTATGAGATCTGGCTATAGGGCATTTTTTAAATTAGCAATCAATGAGTGAGGCCTAGCTTGTTTTGGGTGGTACCATCCGTAGGCTACTTTATAAAGTCTGGCTGAAACACACAACTAAGCACTGAACTGAACCCAAGGAACCCAGTGACAGAGAGAGAGGAGTGATGAGCAAATTGGCAAAGAATGGGCTGGCAAAACCAGCAGAGACAGCTGATCTGAACAGGGGAGTGCCCTTGGACCCCAGACCGACAGTGGGGAGGCCAGCATGGGACTGATCTGGACCCCCCCAAATGTGAGTGTCAGTGAGAAGGCCTGGGCAACCTATGGGGCCCTGAGCTGTGGATCAGTGTCGATCCCTGGTATACAAACTGTCTTCATGTGCCTATAGCACAAAGAGAGATGCTCTCTCAGCCTAGACTCTTAGGGGAGTGCCTTGACCCTACCAAGAGTAAAATGACAGACTCTAGATATCCCCTATGTGGAAGGATTTGGCAATAGGGTGGGAGGGGGGGAAAGGGGAGTGCGGGAGGAGGGGAGGGAGAGGGAACTGGGATTGACATGTAAAACAAGCTATTTAAAATTAAAATAAAAAATGATTAAAAAAAGTCTGGCTGAGCAAGCTATGGGGAGCAAATCAATAAGCAGCACCCCAACATGACCTGTGCATCTGCTCCTACCTCCAGATTGCTTCCTTGTAAGAATTCCTCTCACGTTATTCCTTGATGAACGGGGTTGTGGAAGTATAAACCATAAGCCATAAGCCAAATAAACCCCTTCCTCCACAACTTTCTTTTGGTTGTGATGTGTTGTCACAGCAATAGAAATGCCAAATAAGATACCAACTGAGTCCTGTAAGAGCATTTAGTACTCTTACCTCCTGATCTCTCTTTCCTGCCTTAGCTCTTCGTGATCTGTTTGTTTGCCTTGTCTTTGCATGCTCATATTCTGCTGCAAGCTATGCTTAATACATTTATTCATAGTCTTTCCCCAGGTATAAGACTTTATCATTTTTCTGCTAATGCACTTGTAATTTTTAAGCAGCTTCTGCTTTCTCTGTGAGCTCCTAAATCCTCTGAAAGTATCCACCAGGAAGTTCAACTTGTAGCCAGTGCTTAGTCTCTCTGTAAGTTGCATCGAAAAGCAGCAGACTACAAGACGTCTTAGTTGAGTTGTAGAATATGAGGTGAAAGTGCTGAACAAGTTTGAATCCAGGTTACTTTCCCTATGCAGTTTTATTGTAGTCATGCTACTTTAAAATTTTTGTACCTTCTTTCTTATTATAAAAAGTTGGTTTATGTCTTCATAATTCCATGGAGTAAATATTTGTGAAATGTCTGCTTATTGTGCAGGTTCCGTTGATAGACGGATCCTGGTTAATCTGACATGTTAATACCCTGTGGACAATATTGCATTCCTGAAAGGCAAAAGAATTTCAGGGGTACTGGATTTCTAACTTTAATTATAGAGACCTCCAATGGTGGAATATGAAAGACAGAATTTGAGAGAACATGGTGTGCAATCTCCTGGAAGATGATAGGAGGGAAAAATGGTTCTAAACATACCAGACAAGCTACAGATATTTCAAATAAAGGGCAGACAGTCGAACATGATTATAATTTGGCAAAAGGAAACAAATAAAGTATCCTATCCAAATTCTTAGATATTGATTTCAGAGTGTTATGTCATTCATGGTAGAATGAAATTAAGTTCATTTTGGGGGGGAGGAGGATGGGAAGAATCCCAGATTTTTAAACAAGATTTTTTTGAATAGGATGTCTGTATCAAACCACTCACCTCAAGCTTCAGATACATATGTGGAAGAGGAGACAGAAAGATTGCAAGCACTGGAGATAGTGGATGATTCTAAGAAAACATCACCCTCCAGATGAAATGGAGGTGATATACACTCCATATGCAGACCTGTATAGATTCGAGCTATTCAAAACCCCAACACAAACTGTCACTCCTAATCAATATTTGTGATTGATGCCTGCTGGGAAGGGGAAAATCAGTTTTCTCCAATGGAGTCTCATTGTGTATTATCAACTCAACTCCAGGACAAATTTCATACCAAAGAATAGTTGGCAAAAACAAAATGGTCTCCATGTTTTGGATTTCTTTTTTGTTTGTTTGCTTGCTTTGGTATTTTTCAACTTATTGTAATTTTTTTTGCTTGTGTGTTTGTTCTGTTTTTGTGTTTTTATTTGGTTATTTGTTTTTACAAGGATGGTGTGGAAAGAAAGGGGGAACATATATGATATTGAGAGAGAGTAGGAAGAGTGGAAGAACCTGGTAGGGGCTGGGGAAGAGAAAGAATGTTATCAAATATATTGTATGATAAAATGACTTAAAGGATAAAACATATCCCCCAGGCCTCCAAACCCAGACCATAGAAATATGTGCATAAGGAGACTATGTTGAAATCAGTAGGAATTACAAAAGTATACCCAAACATGTAAAAGTAATTGGAAAAATACATATGGCTTATCTGTGTAACAACAAACAGACAAAAAGAAGCCATGAATTAGAAGGCAAGTGTACATGGGAGGGTTTGGAGAAAGAAAACAGAAGAGGCAAATGATAATAGAAATTCTTTAAGAAATCTTTTGCTAAACAGGACTTTTCATTGACTCTTTATCTCTTCTAGGAATGATCACTACCTTTAGTGTTTATTTTCCTCCTTGACTTTTTGGTATTTATGTCTTGAACTAATGTGTTTTATTGAATGATGATACGTTCATCTCTAGAGGGACATGGATTTACATTCCATTATGTATTTGCAATGTGTAGGTTCTGTGTAGTGTTCTCTCTTATGAGCTACATGTATGTGCAGTCAGAACTCTGAGTTAGCATGTCTGCTTCCAAGTTGGAGCATGACCTCCTCTTGAATGCAGAATATGATGGTGCTTCAGTGCTCAACTAAAGTCCTTTAGATATCATTCTGACTTTCATTTCCAGTCTTTTGCTGAACAACAATGGTTGAAATCTCTTGGGAGCTGTTTATTTATCACTGTAAGCAGTGCTTTTGTGGCATCACAAAATGCCAGTAGAGAGGAGCACTGTACATTACACTGGATCTACTCTGCTGTCTACTAGAAGGTCAAGGCAGAACTCCATTGTTTTTCTTCCCCCACATTATAAACACCCCAGAAATGACAAACTGAAGGGAAGGATGTACTTCCCCAATGACCCCCTGCTCACAAATATGAATTAAAGTCTGTTTTTTGTCATCTTTTGCCAGACTTTTTTTCTAGAAGTTTCTGTAAATCAATGATTTGAAGGTAGACTTCATGCATGACATGATTCTTTCTCTCTTGCCTGATTAAAATAAGAGAAAGGGAACCCCGAGGAGTATTTTTAATACATTTTCCCCTGACACTGCATAAATCTAAGAAAATTTATATGCTAATCAAATCAAAATAGAAATTATTAGTGACTAGAGAGCCTCAACATGGCTGTTATTTTCCAACCAACATATGATAAGAGCCCTAACACTAAATTAAGAAGCTGAATATTGTATAAACCCCAAAAGGTTATAATACATGACAGGTTTAAGCAATATTAAATTCTGGAAAGCCTTACCCACCTATTACATATTTATTCAGTATTACAAATTGTAAATATTTAAAAATACACAAAGATACAGTGTGGGTAAATTCTTAATGTTTAATGAAATTATTCATGATATACAAAGAGTTGAATACCTCAACAAATACCATGAAGGTTAATG